CCACCTTGCGGCGCCGGCACACGGGGTTCTAGTCCCGGTCGGGGCGCCGGATTCTGTCCCGGTTGCCCCTCTTCCAGGCCAGCCCTCTGCTGTGGCCCGGGAGTGCAGTGGAGGATGGCCCAAGTGCTTGGGCCCTGCACCCCATGGGAGACCAGGAAAAGCACCTGGCTCCTGGCTCCTGCCATTGGATCAGCGCGGTGCGCCGGCCGCGGCAGCCATTGGAGGGTGAACCAATGGCAAAGGAAGACCTTTCTCTCTGTCTCTCTTTCTCACTGTCCACTCTACCTGTCAAAAAAAAAAAAAAAAAAAAGAAAACCCAAGTAAATGGGGCGCTCATGGGTGGGAAGACTCACTGTGCCAGCTCCCCCCTCCCCAACCATGGTTTTAGTCACCTAAAATTATTAAGTGGAAAATTCTACAATAAACAATTCAAAAGATTTAAATAGTTTTTATTACATTCTATTGTTATAATTGTTGTATTTTATTATTAGTTATTGTGGTTAATCTCTGTACCTAATTTATAAATTAAACTATTATAACTATGCATGCATAGGAAAGTATATCTTACTTATAGGGCTTAATGCTATTCATGGTTTCAGGTGTCTACTGAAGGTTTTGAAATGTATCCATTGCAGATAAGGGGTGACTACTGTAGTCCAGATTTTAATTTTCCCAGATTGATTCACAGATTCAATGTAGTTTCCAGTCAAAATCTCCACATGATTTTTGGTAAGCACTGATAGACTGATTCTAACATTCATATGGAAAGTGATTGACCTAGAATAACCAAAATACCTTGAAACAAGAACAAAACTACAATGTTAACATATTTTTAGGATTTATTTATTTATTTGAAAGGTAGAGTTTCACAGAGAGAAAAGGAGAGGCAGAGAGAGAGAAGTTTTCCATCCACTGGTTCACTCCCCAACTGGCCACAATAGTCAGAGCTGCACTGATCCGAAGTCAGGAGCCAGGAGCTTCTTCTGGGTCTCCCATGCAGGTGCAGGGGCCCAAGGACTTGGGCCATCTTCCAGTGTTTTCCTAGGCCATAGCAGAGAGCCAGATCAGAAGTGGAGCAGCCAGGTCTCCAACCAGCACCCACATGGGATGCCAGCACTGCAGGCGGTGGCTTTACGATGCCACAGTGATGGTCCCATGATCTTATTTGAAGATCTATAATAGGAGGCCTGGGTTGTGGCGTAATGGATTAAGCTCCCCTCTGCAGTGCTGGCATCCCATATGGCCACTGGTTTCAGTCTTGGCTGTGCTACTTCTCATCCAGCTCCCTACTAATGGCCTGAGAAAAGCAGCAGAAGATGGCCCAAGTCCTTGGGCCCCTTACACCCATGTGGAAGACCAGGATGAAGCTCCTGGCTCTTAGTTTTGGCTTGGCACAGCCCAGGCTGTTGCTGTCATTTGGGGAGTGAAACAACAGTTGGAAGATCTCTCTCTAGCTCTTCCTCTCTCTACCTTTAACTCTGCCTTTCAAATAAATAAAAAAGAAATCTTAAAAAAGATATATAATAAGACTATAGCAATTAAGGCAATGTGATACTACTATAAAGACAAATAGACCAGAGGAATGGAGTGGAGTCCAATGGGATAATTGGTTTTCAACAAATGTACTAAGACAATTCAGTGGAGAAAGGATAGTCTTTTCAACAAATGGTTCTGGAACAACTGAATTCAAAAAAAGGAAGGAAAACAGGGAGGGAAGTAGGGAAGGAAAAGGAAAGGAGGGAGGGGAAAATACACACATTTTGATCTATTCCTAATATCCATTTACAAAAATTAATGGAACTAGGCCGGCGACGTGGCTCAATAGGCTAATCCTCCGCCTTGCGGTGCCGGCACACCGGGTTCTAGTCCTGGTCGGGGTGCCGGATTCTGTCCCGCTTGCCCCTCTTCCAGGCCAGCTCTCTGCTGTGGCCAGGGAGTGCAGTGGAGGATGGCCCAAGTGCTTGGGCCCTGCACCCCATGGGAGACCAGGATAAGTACCTGGCTCCTGCCTTCGGATCAGTGCGGTGCGCCACGGCGGCCACTGGAGGGTGAACCAACGGCAAAAGAAGACCTTTCTCTCTGTCTCTCTCTCTCACTGTCCACTCTACCTGTCAAAAAAAAAAAAATTAATGGATCCACTTAATGGATCATGAACCCTCAAATAAAACCTAAAATTATAAAATTTCTATAAGAAATAAAAAAATTTGTGACTTTGGATTGATTAAGGATTTATCTAACACAACACTAAAATACAGTCTATAAAAGAAAAAAATGATAGGTTGGACTTTTTCAAAATTTAAAACTTCTGCTTTTTGAAAGACACTTAAGATAATGAAAAGTCAGAGAGACTGGTGACTAGTTTAGATTTATCTAGCAAAGAACTTGTATCCAGAATACCTAAGAACTCTCAAAACTTGATCATAGGAAAACAAACACCCACACAAAAAATGTCAAAAGATTTGCACAGACTCTGCATTACAGAAGATACAAAGATGGTAAATAAGCAGATGAATAGGTACTTAGCGGAAATGCGAATTAAATGAGATTCTATTACACACTGTTTAGAATGACTAACAGTTAAAAGCCTGACCATGCCAAGTATTGGCTAGGCTGTGGGGGAACCGAAACTGTCATAACCTGCTGTTGGGAATATAATATAGAGAAACTCCTTTGGAAAAATAATTCAATAATGTCTTTTTTTTATTTGACAGGTAAAGTTATAGACAGTGAGAGAGAGAGACAGAGAGAAAGGTCTTCCTTCTGTTAGTTCGCTCCCCAAATGGCTGCTACAGCTGGCGCTGCACCGATCCGAAACCAGGAGCCAGGAGCCAGGAGCCAGATGCTTCCTCCTGGTCTCCCATGCGGGTGCAGGGCCCAAGCACTTGGGCCATCCTCCACTGCCCTCCTGGGCCACAGCAGAGAGTTGGACTGGAAGAGGAACAGCCGAGACAGAACCGGCGCCTCAACCGGGACTAGAACCCGGGGTACCGGCGCCGCAGGCGGAGGATTAACCAAATGAGCCACAGCGCCGGCCCCTGGACAATGTCTTAAAAACTTAAACATACACCTATCAGATGATCCAACCACTTTACCCCTAGATATTTATCCAAGAGAAAATAAAACACCTCCCAAACAAGACTGCCACATAAATGGCCATATGGGCTACATTAATTTTCTGTTGTTGGGTAACAAATTACTACAAATTCAGCAGCTCAAACAAACCACGTCTGGGCATGGCCTTGGCGGGTACTTGGGATCTCAGCAAGCTGCAGTCAGGTGCTGGCTGGGCTGCATTTTTTGTGGAGCTCACACATCTGTAGATCACGCAAGACCAGCCCACTCCCACCTCCAGGTCTCACGGCTGCAGGAAAAGAAAGCAGCAAGTACGACTTCTTTGTCCCGAAGGAAGGAGATTAAATGGGATAAAATACAATCTGTGGCAGCTGATATCAAAGAAACATTTTTTGGTAGGCCATCCTGGTCCTTTTGGGTTTAATTTCTTGGTGACTGCTATTTACCTGCAGGTACACACATATTCTTCCTTTCTTGATTGCCACCAGACAGGAGCCTCTGTTGGTGAGATCGCCAGCAAAACGCATCTCTTCACTGCATAGACAGTTTCACTGACGTATGGGATGGGCCATTCAGGATAGTGTTTCTCGTGGGATGAGAGAAGAACTCTCCCAATTGACTCTTGCCTGTACTTTGTCATTGACTAAAGGGGTGAGGTATCTGGGATAGCTGCTGGAGTTTTTCGGTTCTGGTTAGGGCCAGGGATAAGAAAAGCATCAGCAGCGCGGTGCGCCGGCCGCGGCGGCCATTGGAGGGGGAACCAACGGCAAAGGAAGACCTTTCTCTCTGTCTCTCTCTCTCACTGTCCACTCTGCCTGTCAAAAAAAAAAAAAAAAGAAAGATAGAAAGAAAAGCATCAGGCATTATTATCAGTGGGGCCCTACTGTCTGCACTACCATAGGAGATCTGGAAACATTTGGCTAGCCAGGGAAGTGCCAAAAGACCAGAGTACATGTGGCAGAGACTTTTTTTTTCTTTCTTGGGGACTAAAAAGGAAGGCGATATCTATTGAACACCTAGATCCAAGGTCAGTTATATGAATGCATTTGTGGTGTTTGTGAGATGTGTATTGGTAGGTAGGTTTCAAACTATTCTCTTGGAAGGCACAGCACTAAACATTCCCCAAACAGGGAAGTGATCAATAACACTGAATGCACGAGGCATCTATTGAATTTTGACAATACGGAAATCTGCGGGGAGCCTAGCGTATTTGGTGGAGTAGTATGAGCAGAAGATAGATTTTACCGTACGGTGGGTGCAAATGTGCAGTGAATTAAAGAAATAGAGACAGCAAAGGATTGGCTACTATCGATATATCTGACTGAGAAGATATGGCTGACAAAGTGTTGGGGTGGGGGCAGAGACAAAGGTGGAGACATTTTAGATCAGGAGAGACTCCAGCACATTTATAGGTTGAGGCCAACATGGCAAAAAGAGAGGGAGAAAATAAAGGAATAAGAATATCAGGTCCAACGGAAGGAAGACCTTTCTCTCTGTCCCTCTCTCTCTCACTGTCTAACTCTGCCTGTCCAAAAAAAAAAATAAATAAATAAATAAATCAGGGGATCACTGGACAAAGTCAAGGAGAAAACAGCATGTGTGCTGAGAACAAAGAGAAACAAACATGAGTGGACAGGGACGTCTCATCCCTTGAATTTGGATAAAATAAAACAAAAATCCAGGCGGATGTAGTTAAACGCAGAGATCCCTCTACTTGGGTTAACGGCAGCTTCTGACACTACTGAGTGTTCCCTCCTATCCCAGCCTCTTCCTGACCCTTGTCCTGCACGCACAAACTTGCATCCAAGAGCCCAACAGTCGTGGGAGGCTAATACATTGGCTGGGATACGATAAGGAACGCCCCTAGGTTGGCTCACTTAGTTCAAAACAAAGACGTAGGGCTCAAAAAATTCAAAGCAACGTAGTCACCGATTTGGACTTATATTTCTAATTTGTTCTTGGAGCGAGAGGATGAGGCTAGTTTGAAAACAACAGAATCCAACTTCTGAGAGCCTTCCAAAGCTACCTACTCCCTGCAGCGGAGCCGCGGTTGGGTGGTTGGGGCTGCGTATGTTTTGAGCCCTGGAGTTCTAGGCTTGCTCTTCTAAAGCCTCTGTGTTGAGAGTGTTGGTCCAGGCCACCAGATCGTCCACCTCCTCTTCCCAGTCCTCCTCCGTGTCGCTATTAAACGAGGAAGCTTCGCTCTTCCACCCCGCCTCTTTTTCATTGGAATCTGTGACATCGCTGTTGGTTTGTGACTCAGGATAAGCGTCGTCTACTGTGTGATAAATACGAAAAACGGAAATGTAATAGACATAGCGGGAAAAAAACATCAAAAAGAGACATGTTCCTGCATTTGGCCAGCATGCTGAATTTAGATCATCTGAGTGAACATAAACACCTTTTTAAACTTCAAAAATATCATGCTATATAGTTAACCTGGCCATCAATCATCCTCTCCCTTTCACTCAGCCTTTCTGTTTTTTTTTTTTTTTTTTTTTTTTTTTTTTTTTCCAGCAGAGTGGACAGTGAGAGAGAGAGACAGAGAGAAAGGTCTTCCTTTGCCGTTGGTTCACCCTCCAATGGCCACCGCGGCTGGCGCACCGCGCTGATCCGATGGCAGGAGCCAGGTGCTTCTCCTGGTCTCCCATGGGGTGCAGGGCCCAAGCACTTGGGCCATCCTCCACTGCCCTCCCGGGCCACAGCAGAGAGCTGGCCTGGAAGAAGGGCAACCGGGACAGAATCCGGCGCCCTGACCGGGACTAGAACCCAGTGCCGCAAGGCGGAGGATTAGCCTAGTGAGCCGCAGCGCCAGCCAGTCTTTCTGTTCTTATTAGTTTATTCGTTTAACCTGCATTTACCGAGTCCCAGTTGATGTGTCTGGAGCACATTATGGAGGTGGGGATTTTGTCCCTCTGTTAAGATAAGTTATGAAAGCGCTCATTCCAACTGCCTCACCTTCTACACGCCCTTCTCAGGATGAATCCTGCAAATGCTGCCTCTTTTAACGTACTTGTTAATCTTAAAACAATTTAGGTCAATCTTCAGTTTAACTTAGAATAATGCAGTTTAAAATTGCTGATTGGTGGGTTCTGGCTGCCGCCATTCACTGGCGTGACCAGTCTGGATTCAGCTAGAAAACAGAACCTCTCAGCTAGTACAAGAGCGAGGGGTTTAAGGTAGGAAGCTGAGATGATCCGGGTGTGGGATGGCGGAGGGGAGGCAAGGTCTGGCTGCTTCGCTGAGAAGCGTGGAGGCAGTCGCTGCTCCGTGAGCCTGATGTACGAACAGGAAGTGGGAAACCAGGAAGGAGCTCCTGAAGCACAAGGAGGAGATGCTCATAGGCAAAGTGCGACATAAATGCCACGTTCATGGGGCCGTGTGTGAAGTGACCATGTCTGCGAAGTGGGACTCGGGGGAAAGATCTGTGCCTCTGCTGTGCCTGGGGAAGCTGCCACACCCGATATGCACACCTTCCTGAGCACAATGGCCTCTTCTCTCTCCCGACCTGCCCCACGCCACCTCCTCAGTCTCAGGTGAGTGTTCCTCTTCGGCAGACCACCCCACGCTACCTCTCTGCCAAAGAGCTACGCAAAGCTCATTCTTTTCCCAACTGAGTCATACTTCCCTTTGATGTCTTGTACAAGTTCTCCATTGCTACACAATAAACAATCACAACATCTTAGCGACAGGCAACAGTAAGTTTTTGTTTAGGTCACCTGCGTGCCCATCAGTTAGGGAGTGACTTCTTTAGCTGGAAAATGGCTGAGAACACTTGGCTGAAGAAGCTTGGCTCGGTGCCCCATATCTCTCTCTCTGATCAGCCAACGTCCAGGCATGCTCTTGTGAAAAGGAGATAGCAAACCATGCAAATCCTTTCCAAACCCTGGGGTTATCACAGCCACTGATACTCCGCTGATCAAAACAAGTTCAAAGTCAAGGGGCGCGGAAGTATACACTTTGCCCATGGAGGTAGAGTAAGAATGAATATTTATGAATGATAATCTAATTTATCACAAGCTCTTAGATATAGTCCCCTCTGAGCAGACACAAAGAAAAGCCTGTCCCACTTTCAGAGAGGACAAGACTCAGCCCTGGGGATCTGGTCAGTTTCTAGACATTGCTTGGAAGCTTCTCCCTACCAGCTTACCTTTGTTTTTCCCACTCATCATTGGTTTACTCCTCTTTTTCCAAAATCGCAGCAGTGCTAGAAGACTCTACCTCACCCCATCTCACTTGCCCGTTTATCCAGGAGCACTGACTAGCTACTGCATGCAAGCAGTGCACTGTGGCAGACAGACGGGAGCAGTCCTGCCCTGTGCGGAGCTCACGTCTTCCCAAGGAGACTGGCAGTAAGCCAACAAGCAGACAGTAACAGCAGGTGTGGCAGACTCTCTGAGGCGGGCCCTCAGGGTCCTTGCAGGCTGGTGTCCACACCTGTGTGAAATCCCTTCCCTTCCGAGAGTGGGTGGGACCTGTGTCTTGCTTCCAACCAATGAAACGTGACGACAAGGGAGACGGACTCCCACTCCCTTGAATATGTCGCCTAATATAAGGTTCCATTTTGCTATCAGCTTCACTCTGAAGATGCTCCCTGTGGCTGGCTAAAGTAGGAGGCCACATTGGGAAGGTACAGAACTGTGGGCAGCCTCCAGGAACTGAGGGAAGCCTCCAGCACACAGCCAGCAAGAAGCCGGGGCCCTCTGTTCCAAAGCCAGAAGAAAACAAATTCTATTGATAATATGTTATATAGCAACAGGAAGCTAATAGAACAGGATGTGGCTATGCCAGAAGTGCTATGATAACTCGCAAAGAGAATTTCCTAGAGAAGGTAATACCTAGACTGAATCTCAAAGGATGGGTAAGATTAGAAAGTAAAGGAGGGGGTGTGTATCAGAAAACACAGTGCACCTCTCATATTGTTTTGCAATAACTCAGGACACAATCATAAAAGCAGACTGGAGCTGTGGGTGTGGGTCTGATGAAGCATGGACAGAAATCGCTGTGATCACGGATGTAACCAAATAACCTCTTCTGGTGGAGGTGGAGAACACGGAGATAGCAGGGAGGTGCAGAGAAACCCTGGAGGAGGCAGACAGGAAGGCTGGGGAAGGCAGCAAGTCTCCCCAGTGCTTGCAGGGACCCTGCAGTCTGGAAGAAGGCCAAGTTGAAGGGAGAAGCCCGAGGCTGGCAGCTTACAGGGGGAACCCTGAGTGGTATAGAAGATAAGTAGATGTTGAGCCATGGAAAAGAAAGCTGGAACAGAAGGAGCAGGGCCCGTGGAGCTCACTGAATGAAGGTCATTGCCTGTGCTAGCATTCATGTGCTGCTGTGTTTACAGAGAGGTGACAGGAAACACAGCAAGTAATATGTTACAGCACTTTCCAGAGTTCCAAGAAGTTGACATAGGTGGAATCATTTAGTCACACGAATCCTGCGCAGGAGGGAAGGACACTAGCAACTACTATTTATTGAGCATCGTCTGTGTACCCAGTGTGAGCCGAGGATGAAGGAACTGGAGCTCAGGGGCCAAGTGGCCTTCCCACAGCTCACAGAGCATGGTCTGAACCCCAGGTCTCTGAGCCCAAACACGTGGATCTGGTGCTGCCTCTACACTAGGTGACTTCTCTAAGTTACCAGCTCGCTCTCTCTGCTCCACTGCCCTGGACCTGTCTCAACAACTTACATTGTTTCTTTGCAACAAGTTCATTTTTAAAAGCACACCCCACAAGGAACCTCAGCTACCACCCCACCTTTCTTTTCAGTGTATTGCATATATCTCTTAGCCCATGCGTTTTAGGGATCAGTTTCTTAGTGATTACTTAGGGCTGCTTTTTTCCATTTTGCAGCTTAGTCTTAAATTTTCAAACTGTATTATTAACCCATTAGAAGTAGTAAACTTGAAAGTGTAATTCAGTTTTTTAAAGCTATAATTCCTGCGCAATTTTCTGAACTGATTTTTTTTAGAAAGAGTTGGAGTTAAAAGGAAAACACAAGAATTAGGCCTCATGTATTCAAATGTATTCTGAACTGAACAAAAAATTGTATTGATGCTTATGAATAATATTTTAGTTCTAAAAGCAAAAAAATACGTAGGCTGAATCCAATTTACTTGTAGTTGGGAGGCGATGCATTCTTTTGGTTGAGGGACTGACATGGCCATGCATTCTAGTTTCCCTAGAAAACCGAGCCTTGGTAGCAGCATACCTAGAAAGAGAAGAGAAGAAATCATCTCAAGTCCCAAGTGAATTTTGGGAAGTGTACTTTACTTTTGAGGAAAATAAACCACCTACGTGAAGTGAACCAGAAAAGTAGAACAATGGCCTTTAAACACAGTGCCACTCTGAATGTTGACTAAATTGACAATAAAATGGAATTATTTCAACATCTGCTAACAGAATAGTACTTAGAAAAGCAAGCAAATATGACAGAAGATTAGAATTGTAGAAGTAGAAAAAGCATCATGTAGCATTAAAGGGTGTATCATTAAAGGGTGTATCAGTATCCTAGGGCTACCACAGCAACCAACCACAACTTCAGGAACTTCAAATAATACAGTCCTCCCTCCCCGGTGGGGGATATGTTCCAAGCTCTCCTGTGGATACCTGAAGTCAGACACAAAAGCCTGTACATTGTGATGTTTCCTCACACACACACACACAAATTTCACAACTTTTCTATCTTAATGAAGCACTTCTCATGTGTGGTGGCTATAATTTTTGCAGTTTCAAGAGTGACAGAAACACCAGCACAAATTTCTTTTACCTTCTTCACAATTTCGCCAGTAGGACATTTGTTCTTAACATTGACCTTAGCCACCTCGGCATACCAGATCCTTCTTTCCTTATTTAGGACTTCCACGTTTTCACTTCAAGGAAGCACTTTGTAGTTCCTCCATTGCATACCCAAATGCCAGCATTACCATTGTTGGCTTTTGGGGCCATTATTAAGTACAATCAGTGCCTGAACATGAGCACTGTGATACTGCAACAGTCCATCTGATAACAAATTAAGTAATTAATGTCCAGTGTGGAAAATCTGGACAAAGCAGTAATTCACATGCAGAGAGAAGGGGGACAAAGTGCGACAAAGCGCACAAAGTGCAAGATTTCATCACGTGAGTCGTCATGGTGTACAACTGAAAACTTACGAATTGCTTATTTCTGGAATTTTCCACCTAATATTTTCAGGCCATGGATGACAGCAATTAACTAAAAACTCAGAAAATAAATCCAGAGGTAAGGAGGACGTCTATTACAGGAACTTACTCTCACGTTCTGGAGGCTGAAGTCTAGGCTCCCGGTGAAGTCTCCAGGTAACAGCCTTCTCTTGCTTCTTCCTAGCGCCTACTGGCTCCCAGCAAACTTGGCCGACAGCTGCACCCCTCCCTTCTCTGCCCCCATCATCACATGGTTCCTTCCCTGCATGTGTCTCTCGTGTGTCTTCTCCTTTTCAGAGGCTATCAGTCATCAGATTCAGGGCCCTCCTTAATCCAGTAGAGCCTCATCTCCATTAATTACATCTGAAGAGATCATTTCCAAATAAAATCAGATTGTGAGGCTTGGGGTGGGGTGGGGAAGGCAGGAGTTTTGGGATAGCACAATTAAACCTTTTTTTTTTTTGGTTAGTTTGGCCAATGATGTATCAATTTTATTAATTTTCCAAAAAAAAAGCAGCTCTTCATTTAACTGATCTTTCCTATTTTTTTTGTTTCAGTTATGTTTATTTCTTCTCTAATTTTTATATTTCTTTCCTCCTCCTAATTATGGGTTTGGTTTGCTGTTCTTCTAGATCCTTGAGATGCATTGCTAGATCAATTATTTGATGCCTTTCCAATTTCTTGATGCAGGCACCAATTGTTATATACTTCCTTCGTAGTACTGTTTTTGCTATACCCCATTAGTTTTGATTTTTTATCATCGTCACTCATTTCTAGGAATTTTAAAATTTCCTTTATGATTTCTTCTATGACCAACTGTTCATTCAGGAGCATGTTGTTCAGTCTCCAGGTATTTGCATATTTTCTAAAGTTTCTTAAGTTATTATTTTCTTTTTTAAAAAAATATTTATTTATTTGAAAGTCAGAGTTACACAGAGAGAGGAGAGGCAGAGAGAGAGAAGGTCTTCCCTCTGCTGGTTCACTCCCCAATTGGCTGCAAGGGCTGGAGCTGCACTGATCTGAAGCCAGGAGTCAGGAGCCTCTTCCAGGTCTCCCATGTGGGTACAGGGGCCCAAGGACCTGGGCCATCTTCTACTGCTTTCCCAGGCCATAGCAGAGAGCTGAATTGGAAGTGGAGCAGCCTGGTCTCACACCAGTGCTCATATGGGATGCCAGCGCTTCAGGCCAGGGTGTTAACCCACTGTGCCACAGTGCCGGCCCCCTTATGTTGTTAATTTCAAGCTTCATTCCATGGTGGTCAGAAAAGATACATGGTATGATTTCAATTTTTTTGAATTTGCTGAGACTTTCTTTATGGCCTAGGGTATGGTTTATCCTAGATAAAGTTCCATGCACTGATGAAAAGAATGTGTATTCTGCAACTGTGGGATGACATGATCTGTAGATATCAACTAGGTCCATTTGGTCAGTAGTGTAAATTAGCTCTGTAGTTTCTTTGTTGATTTGTTTGTCTAGTTGATCTGTCCATTGATGAAAGCGGGGTGTTGAAGTCCTCAATTATTATTGTATTGGAGTCTATATCTCCCTTTAGATCCATTAACATTTGTTTTAAGTACCCAGGCACCCCCCCCAGCACTGCATGTGTATGCATTTACTATAGTCACATCTTCCTGTTGAATATATTCCTTAATTATTACATTAGACCCTTCTATGTCTCTTTTAACAGTTTTTGTGTTAAAGTCTAATTTTGTCTGATATTAGTATGTCTATTCTTGCTTGTTTTTGCTTTCCATTAACATGGAATGTTGCTGTGGATTTGTTCTGAGAGGAAGAGCGCAGTGGGAGCAAGAGGCATGGAGTCATGACACAGACACCAGGAGTCGGATGAAAGTGGGCTAGAGGTGAACAGCCCGCAGACTCGTTTATTTCAGTTGGTACAGCAGCTTATATAGCCGAGGCAGCCAATCCGGTCAAGGGGCAGTTTATGCTCTAACCAATCACTGCCTGTTGCCAGGCAGGTTCTTTTGCCAGGTGGGTTCCAAAGCCATTCCTGAGTAACTGATGCTCACTTGCCAGTGGCCATCTTGGCATGGCCTTCTCATTCCACCACAATGGAATATCTTTTTCTTTTCTTTCACTTTCAATCTTTGTTGGTGAGGTGTATTTCTTGTAGGCAGCAAATAGTTGGGTCTTGTTTTTTTTTTTTTTTTTTAAATCCATTCAGCCTATCTGTATCTTTTAATTGCAAAATTGAGACCATTTACATTCAAGATTATTATTGATAAGCAATGACTTTGTCATGCTATTTTCCCATAAATACTCCTATTGTTTGTTTTGGATTTCCTTTGCAGATGTACCAGGAGACTTTCTTCCTTCACATTCTTTCTCAGTGCTGACTGTTTCTTTGTGTTGCATATTCTTAAGAATCATTTGTAAGGCTGGACAAGAGGGAACTGATTCTTTCAATTTCTGTTTTGGGAGGTCTTTATTTCACCTTCATTTATAAATGAGTTTTGCTGTGTATAGTATTCTGGGTTGACAGTTTTTTTTTTTTTTTTCTTTTAGGACTTGGACTATGTCTCTCTATTCTCTCCTTGTCTGAGGATTTCTGATGAGAAATAAGCTGTCAATCTTATTGGAGATCCTTTAAAGATAATCTGGTGTCTGTCTTGAACATTTTAGATTCTTCTCTATGTTTTGCTTTAGAAAGTTTGATTATAATGTGCCATGCTGAAAGCTCTTCTGATCATACCTATTAGGAGTTCCATGTGCTTCCTGTACTTGGATGTCCCTATCTTTCTCAGATTAGGGAAGTTTTGTTTTTATTTCATTGAATAGGTCTTCTTATCCATTCTCTTTTTCCATACCTTGAAGAACTCCTAAAATATGTATTTTTGGTCATTTCATAGTATACCAAAAATCTCAAACACTATTTTCAGTTTTTTTTTTCTTCCTTTTTTTTTTTGTCTATTTTCAAGGATTTGTCTTCTAGCTAGGATATTCTTTCTTCTGCCCACTGTCTTTCCACTGTATTTTTTGTTTGACATATTGAATTCTTCATTTCTAATATTTCAGTTGATTTCTCTTCAATATCTCTATCTCTCAGCATTAATAATTATTTATTTATTTGAAAGGTGGAATTACAGAGGCAGAGAGAGAGAAAGAGAGAGAGGTCTTTCACTCACTGGTTCACTCCCCAAATGGCTGCAACAGCCAGAGTTGGGCTATTCCAAAGCCCGGAGCCTGGAGCTTCCTCCAGGTCTCCCTCATGGGTGCAGGGCCCAAAGACTTGGGCCATCTCCCACTGCTTTCCCAGGCCACAGCAGAGAGCTGGACTGGAAGTGCAGCAACTGGAACGCAGATCAGTGCTGCAGGCAGCGGCTTTGCTTACTTCACCCCAGCACCGGCCCCATGTATGGATTTCTTTAACTCATGAATTTGCTTGTCATTGCTTCTGAGTAATCCTATAATCATTCTTTTGAATTCCTTTTCAAGCATTTCATTAATCACTTCATCTTCACATTCTAATATTGAAATGTTGTCTTCCTTTTGGGGAGTCATACTGTCTCATTCATGGTTCTTGTATTTCTGTTTATTTGTAGGCATTTGTGGAAACACTTGCTGAGTTTTCTCCTCTGAGGGCTTTTATCTTTGAAATATGCCTCTTTGGCTTAGTGGAGTCTATATTCCTCCAGAGGATATCCGGAGAGGTGTGCCGGAAGCAGGCAGGGAGCTCGGGCCGCTGCTCAAGGGTGGGGAAAGAGTCCAGAGCTATACCAAGTTCAGTGTGGCAGATCTCTTTTATCATCAGGAGGGAGGAGGGTATGATCACATCGCTGGCATGATCATAGCTCAGCCCCTCTCTGCCAAGGTGCACCAACGGTGCAGGGCGAGCCCACAGTGGTTACACACCCTACCCATGCAGGCACATGAAATACATAAAGGATCTCTGTGCTCTCAGTGTGAGCATAGAATCCTCTGGGATGATCCACCCCAGGCACTCAGGGAACTTGAAGCCTCCAAAGCCAGACACAGTAACTGCCCAGAGACCCAGCCACACTCCATGTCCTATCACACAGGGAATTCC